GTGCAACTATGAATGAATGTAGATCCAAAGTCTCTGTAAACATTCATTAAAATAAATTTAAAAAAAAGAAAAATGAAAAAAACACACAAAATTTAAAAAATGCACCGTATCTTATCAGGAAAGGAGCACATGACCTGGGCATCCATTTATCAGCTGCTCAGGATCTGTTCTAGAGATCTCAGTTAGACAACTTTGTAACTCAAGCAGGCTACTGGTGATCAATTCTTATGTATTTATTACTACTACAGTTAAGGGGGAATTGGAAGACCCAAAGTTTTGGGAGTAGCCAACAAGGATCAAAGTCTGGAGCAGTTGCTGGACTACATTGTAAGGGCTTCAGTTCATGCCCTCAAGATTTACGATTCTTTTTACTTCCACAAAGATTTCTAAGCACAATTTTTATGATGTTGCAGACTATCAGATTCCCGACCAGATGTTGATAACATATCTTTAGTTAATTAATGAAATAATCGAAGTTTTAAAAAAATCTAACTATAATAATAGTAAAATTTGTTCAGCAATTTCTAGGCAAAATTATAAATATTTAAATCCATTTTTAATCACTAGAAACCAAAGAGGTGAATTATTGTAATCCCTATTTTACTGGTAGAAAAACTAAGAGATAGGGATGTTAAAAAATTTGTTCAAGATGACACCAATCTGAGAGTTTGATTCTCAACCACTACACTAAACACTTGTAAAAATATCTTTGTGAATTTTACTTTATCATTTTTTCTTGGTTAAATATATTATGAATTCTTCTTATATTTATGTAATATCAGTAATATAGAAAATCATGTATTTATTTATGTTCATACTTTCATGCTATTGTTAGGTTTTGTGTAGTCTTCTCCAATTCATATCAGTGTTATGAGAATATCCTATGAATGCTATTTGTAGTATTACCTTTATATATCTTGACTGTTTTTGTGCTGCTTCAGAGTGTTTGGGAAGAAACGGTGGCATAAATTACGTGAACCTGATTTTAATCTGGTGGTGATATTAAATCCTGATGTTCTGAGAGGCTTCCATTTTCTTGTGAGTTGATAATTATCTTCTGTTCTGGCATCTAATGAGAAGTATAATGGATCTTTCTCCAAAGTCTTGTCTTTCATTATTGTTACATTATTTTTGTTGTGGTGTCCCATCAAGTCATGTGTGATTCATAGTGATCCTGTGTACAATACTTGGGACCCTGCTCTATCTTGAGCCAATATCACTGAATCCAACAGACCTAATCTTATTGCCCCAGTTACTGAATCAACCCATCTCATCCAACCTGTCCAAAGTGCTAAGGAACAATAAGGCCAGTCTAGAGACTAAGATGAAACTGATTTGGGTCGTGGTCTTTGGAATTATTTGCTATGCATCGGAGAACTGGACAATGACTAAGAATGACTGGAGAAGAAGTGATGCCTTTGAGTTGTGGTGCTAGAGAAGAGTATTAAACACACCATGGATAGCCAAAAAAAAACAAATAGGTCTGTCTTGGAGATGGCAAAACCAAGTTTCTCACCAGAGGCAAGGATTTTGAAGACTCATATCACAAACTTTGAGCACATAGTCAGGAGGGACCAGTTCTTAGAGAAAGATATAATGCTTGGTAGAATGAAAGGATGGTGCAGGAGAGGAAGATCCTGGATTATTACATTGGATATTAATAGTATACTGTAATTCTATGTCTTATCATTGCCTTATTCCAGTCCATTTTCCACAAAGCATAAGGCTGATATTTATTCATTTTTTTAAATTTTAATAATTTTAATGAACATTTACAGGGATTTTGGATTTCCATTCATTCATTGCTGCACTTCTCTCCCCGCCCAGCCCTCCCTCCAGCCCAGTTCACTCCTCTCTTTGAAAAGTAAAAGAAACACTCCCTCCCTGGGACACAATTCCACCCCCCC